CAAAACAGAGACCAGAGACAATTCGGCTTCTCGTTGACCTGAAAGAGTTGCCCCCTCCCCCCAGGCTGCACACCATTCTGATTGTATTTGAGAATAGTCTTGGCTTGTAGCTGGTGTTGTGCCGACTCGGAAAGACCTAAGAGAGTCCGTTGTAGTAATGAGGCGTGCAGTTTAAACCTCTCCAAGACCAACACTGGGCCCCTCTGTGGAAATCATGCCATCCAAGCCCAGCACTTCCTTGAGATGGATTCTGGAATACCCACCTCGGTTCACATCCCTTCCCTAGGTCCTGGGGGAAGTTTGATATTCCTTAACGAATCCTTGGGATAAAAGGCTTTTGTCCCATCTTCTGAGCACAGTGAAGACAATCCAGAATGGGATTACTTATCCTAGAATTTTGGGGAGTTTGTTTCTTTTTAAAAATAGGGATCAAAAGCTAGGAGTAAATAGAATAAATATAGATATATATCTTACGTCAGATACCTAGTTATCTGTGATTTGTAAGTCAACTTCAGGATCGGCAAAGAAGTTCATACAAGTAAGACTACTTCTAAGCATATAAAGCACTGTGTGAATGGACGGTGTGGCTATTCATGTGATTTCCCTCCTCAGATTCATTGAGTAGATCTCAAAGAGCCTGAGTGCTCAAGTTAACTGTATGTGTGCACCTGTGTGTGTGCGTGTATGTCCACATGTGAGTGTGTATGCATGTGGGCATGTACATGTGTGGGCACTTACACATCCACACAAGGCTGTGAAGCTCCATGTTCAATGGACTGGTAGGTTTGCAGTTCAGGGACCTGGGTTCAAACCCAGCCGCGGGACTTCCTAACTATAGAGTCACAGTTCTCCATTGGAGGAGCAACAGAGCCTTACACATGGTAGGGCCTAATGAGCTTTTCTTGGTGTTGTCGGGGAGGGAAGTAGGTTTGTATTCCAGCAGGGTGATGTGTAGATTCATAGTGGCCAAACCAGGAGTTGGAACCCAAACCACACCCCTCAGGTGCCCTGCTGCA